AGTCTACAGAGCATTTCTAACCACTAACCTGTCAACTGAGTACTACTACTACTACTACTACTATTATTATTATTATTATTATTATTTTGTAGGTGAGGAAACTAAGACATAAAGACCTTAAGTAGCTATTCAATGTCACAGCTGGTAAATGGCAGAACCAGGAGTAGACCCTTTCCCCTTTCCATCCACCCCACATCAGAGCTCATTCAACTACCCACACCAACCTGTCACAACTCCCTACTACAGTGACTTTAAAATAATTCTACAAATTAAATTTGCAAGAAAGGCTGTCACATTCAGGACAAGAAAAGCCTCAAGTTATAAACTGGTTTAGCTCTAAATATATGTCTATAAGAGTCCTGCAATTCACAAAGCATTTTCCCAAATAGAAAACTGTATAAATGGTTTTTAAAAATCATTTCCTGTAGGGATAACACAATTAGGTTAAGAGACAGAGCTTTTAGTGAAAAAGTCAAGAAACTGAAATACAACTAAACCAAAATAAGTATGTTCATTTTTGTCCTGCTGCTCTCTTCTGGATCTCATTCATTTTCATGAAGACAGTTTATAGGGATAAACTCAAGGCTACCTCCCAGTCTAGAGAAAACACTTCCACACTTAAGCTCTTAAAAAAACAACCAAACTAAGAATCCAGTGTGGAGGAAATATCAAATGAGCAGTTCAGGGCAGCTTTTCACTAGACATTCTTCCCCACTACATAGGAATGACCAGATCTGGAGGGTCTTGGGATAACATATGGACCTTGTACAGCCATCTTCCAACCATTAAGTCTAAAGCTAAAGAGGTAATAAAGGGAGTCCCTGCAGCTGACAGATCAAATAGATATGTGCCAGAGTCACAGCTGGTAACGGAGAAGATGCATCTGCCTAGAGTTTCTCTGTGCAGTATGTATTAGCCAAGCACGTTAAACAGGTGATGGCAACCAGGGTAGGCAGCTCTTTGAAGGGTTTGAGACACACAACCTAGCTAAATACTGGCATGATTAATGAGTATCACCATGTCGTTTCACTTAATAACAAAAGCATGGTTTTCATGCTGTATTTACTACATATTTAGATAAAAATTCTTATCTAGCCCTGGCTCGTGCAGCTCAGTGGATTGAGCGTGGGCTGGGAACCAAAGTGTCCCAGGTTCGATTCCCAGCCAGGGTACATGCCTGGGTTGCAGGCCATAACCCCCAGCAACCACACATTGATGTTTCTCTCTCTCTCTCTATCTTCCTCTCTTCCCTCTCTAAAAATAAATAAATAAAATCTTTAAAAAATTTCTTATGTAATAAAAAAATTAATAATTCCTAACCTTAAAAGAAAATATGAAAAACCAATGTAAGAATTATGACAGCCCTGGCCAGTGGGGTTCAGTTGGTTGGAGCTTTGTCCCATAGACTGAAAGGTTGAGGGTTTGACTCCCAATAAGGGCATATACTGAGATTATGGGTTCAATCCCCAGTTGGGGTACATAAGAGAAGGCAATCAATCAATGTTTCTCTCTCACATCAATGTTCCTCTCTCTCCCTCTCTGTAAAAGCAATGAAATAAAAGGGCAAGGATAAGGGTTAAAAAGTAAGGGTAAAAAATAATACAACATTTAAAAGATGACTGAAATAAACTTGCATAGTATGATAGTGAGAAAGTTTGTGATATATTGGAAACAAATGGGATTGGAAGTCAAGAGGCCTAGTATAAAACCTGCCAAATCTTAGCAGACATATAATAAATGACAAGCAAATGAATGATCTAGTACTGAAGGACTTTGGACAAGTTATTTCTTCTCTCACTGCATCTGCTTCCTATTGCTAAAATTAGATTGTAATGAAAACTGAGTGAGTTACTACATATAAAGTGCTTAGAGGAGTTCTTCACACAGTCAGTACTCAATAAATAGTACACACTATTACCAATTGCCAGTCGGGTTTTACCACCAAATTCAGGTATAATCTCAAACAAGTTACTAGTCATTTGGAAATTATATAAAATGACAGGGCTCTGAAAAATTTAAATTCTGATTCTCAAAAATTGTATTAGTGAATAATTCCCACACACATACATTAAAACTTTAAATACTACCACATTTTCAAGACTAGTATATTATAGAATGTGCATGAAACAAGAGTTCCAGCCAATATGGAGGGATATGTAGACATGTTTTGCCTCCCTGCATAACCAAGAAGGAAACAATCAACTTAAAAACAAAAAACAACCAGAACTTCCAGAAAATTACACTGTATGAAAGTCCAACAAACAAGGAGTTAAAAAGAAACATTCATCCAGACTGGTAGGAGGGGCAGATAGGGGCAGCTGAGGTGGAGAGGATGTGACACAAGGCGGCAGCTGGTGCACTGGGGAAGCAAGGCCACTGCCTTCCCCACTGGTAGACACACCGGCAGGCCCACATCTTTGCAGATAAACCGGGAGGAACAACTGGGGAGCAAACCAGATTGGGCAACCCAGGGTTTTAGCGCCAGCCAAATAAAACCTCAGAACCTCTGGCTGTAAAAACCTGTAGGGGTTGTGGCTGCAGGAGAAACTACCAATCTCTTGAGAGAAACTACCAATCTCTTGAAGGCCAGGCAAGAGCTGAGCAAGTGGCATTGTTCCCTTTCTCATCCCTCCCCAACATAGTGCACCACAACCCAGCAAAGTGGGTTGCCCCGCCCTGGAGGATACCTAAGGCTCCACCCCTTACTATATAACAGGTGCCCTGAGACAAAGAAATATAGCCAAATGAAAGATCGAAACTCCAGAAAAAGAACTAAGTGACAGGGAAATAGCCCACCTATCAGATGCAGAGTTCAAAACACTGGTAATCAGGATACTCACAGAAATGGTTGGGTATGACCACAAAATAGAGGAAAAAGTAAAGACTATGCAAAGTGAAATAAAGCAAAATATACAGGGAACCAACAGTGAAGGGAAGGAAACTGGGACTCAGATCAACAATTGGAAGAAAAGGAAGAAATAAACATTCAACCGAAACAGAATGAACAAAAAATAACAATTCAAAGAAGAGGAGAGGCTTAGGAACTTCTGGGACAACTTTAAATGCTCCAACATCCGAATTATATGGTTGACAGAAGGAGAAGAAGAAGAGCAAGAAACTGAAAACTTATTTGAAAAAATAATGAAGAACTTCCCCAACCTGGTAAAAAAAAAAATAGACATACAAGTCCAGGAAGCTTAGAAAGGCGCAAATAAGTTGGACCCAAAGAAGAACACACCAAGACACATCATAGTTAAATTGCCAAAGATTAAAGATAAGGAGAGAATCTTAAAAGCTGCAAGAGAAAAGGAGACAATTACCTACAAAGGAGTTTTTTGGCCTGACTTCTCAAAAGAAACCTTGCAGGCAAGAAGGGGCTGGAGAGAAGTATTCAAAGTCATGAAAGTCAAGGACCTACATCCAAGATGCCTCTATCCAGCAAAGCTATCATTCAGAATGGGGGGAGAGATAAAGTGCTTCCCAGGTAAGGTCAAGTTAAAGGATGTCATCACCACCAAGCCCTTATTGTATGAAATTAAGGGAATTATGTAAGAAAAAGAAGATCAAAAATATGAACAGTAAAATAACAACAAACTCACAACTATCAGCAACTGAACCTAAAAAGACAAAAACAAAAACAAACTAAGCAAACAACTAGAACAGCAAGAGAATCTCAGAAATGGAGATCACATGGAGGGAGATCAGAGGGGAAGGGGGAGAATGAGAGAAAAGGTACAGGGAGTAAGAAGCATAATTGGTAGGTATGAAATAGGAGGAGGTTAAGAACAGTTTAGGAAATGGAGACACCAGAGAACTTATATGTACAACCCATCGATGTGAACTATAGGGAGGGAATGCTGGTGGGAATGGGGGTAACCAGGTAGACAGGGATAAAGGGGGGGAAAAAGAATGGAACAACTGTAATAGCATAATCAATAAAATATACTTAAAAAAGAATATACATGAAACATACTGTAGGGTTGGGAGGTTTGGTATACATGTAAGTGACCAGACATCCAGACTATCACCTACAGTGGAGATTATAACTTAAAACACACACATGTGTGTGTCTACATACACACACACACACATTCAGAATAAGGAAAAGAGTCCTGGATGAAGATGAAGGAGATTTTGATCTATTCCTGGCATTGCTGCCAACCTTATAACCATAAGTTACTTCTATCTATGTTTGTTTGCTTATCTATAAGTTGAGAAAAGTGGGATACATGATTACTAAGATCTCTCTGAAACTACTTTTTTCCTCTTTCCAAACTAGAATGATGCAATTATTACTTAGAAAACCAGACATTTTGGCACAAATAAGTGTGAAAATTGGCAGATTTCATGGCCTAAGCAATGCCTGATCTGAGAGTGGGAGAAAACCTCACCAGTCTTTTAGATGGTCCTACATTCACTTTCAAAAGCCAGCAGGCTTAATCCTGTTTCTGCTTTCTAAAATAATGTATATTCACCTTAGAGAAGGATAGGCAATAAAAATTAGCTCGATATATGCACTGATATGGGAATTTTCTCACGCAATCACAAAATTAACTGATGATTCTTTTGTTCCACAATATTTTTAATAGCCAAAATTTATTCACCATCTACTATGTGATAGATCTAAGTGCTGAGCATTTTTAAGGCATTATCACATAAACCAAGAAGATAATTTCAGGTAATTTTCAGGTAAGAAAACTGCTGTAAACACTGAAAAATACATGACTGAATTCATTCACTTCATTTCCAAGGCAAATCCTTGCAAAAGAGCACAACAGAATCTTAATTATTTTGTTAATTAGCTTTAAGAAAAAACAGATATATAGAAACCAATTTAAATTCTGATAATCCACATCAAGAATGTAATTTATTCTTAATAATCCCAAGAGGTTTCTCACCATTATATTCTTAATTTTTTATTTCAAACTCATAGCAAAATGAGAAAGTCTAAAAATATAATTAAAAGTTTATTTAAAAAAAAAACACAAAAAATTCCTTACCTGAGCATGAAAATTGGACATAGTCGTTGTCTCTATATCCTTCTTTCCCAAAATCTCCATTTTCACTGGTGAATTGGGAAAATTAAATGAAAAGTAGTCTAAAAAGTCAGGTAAATAAGCAGCTGCCCCATGAACAATACCCATTACATAGAAAGCTGCAGAGTTTTCATTTTCACTGAATACTAGACCCACAAACTCTTCTGCAAACCTCTCCATCTCCACAGGAGACAGATGGGTTAGTTCATTACTGTAGGCATGGATAACTGACGCACCTCCATTAGGCTGATGCTCAATATGAATGAGCTGTCTGAACTCCAAAGTGTCCAACCTTTTGAGGTTATTCTGAACCCGTGGCTCCTTTAGTGAGACAAATGGAAACTCACTGTTCTCTGGAATTTTGGAATCATAGTTCTTGGTATCCAAATTCTTTCCACTGTAATCCTTTATGTTATCACTTAGGATGCCTTTAGGTTCTTGATCTTCAAAGTCAGATAGCAATCCTGAGCAGATGGTTTGAATAGATTTGCTATACATTTTTGGACGCTTCCGTTTTTCATTCTCTTTGTGTTTCTTTTTCTTTTTCTTCTTTACCTTTTTAATTTGTAAGTCTTCTACATTTGTTTTTGGTTTCTCCTTCCCACCTGTTGGGAAAACATTTTTTTTGAAACTCCGTATTTTAGTTATTTAAAAAACCATGCTTTAGGAACTGTTTTACAATAAACAAGCAAAGTTTACTTAAAATTAAGTTTATATTTAGGACTCATTTTACACAATATTGAAAATCACTATTTAGTCGGTCTTTCTGCTCCTCTCTACACATGCACAAATACACACCAAGGCTTAAGACAAAATTATACCTTTCTGACATGTAGCAGATGCTCAATCAGTGTTTACTGAAATAATGAAATGAGTGAATGTTTTAGAAAGCATAATCTTCAAATTTTAAATGTAGAAAATCAGAAGTGAAAAGTTGAACAAAAGTGAATACAATGCTTTCCAGGTGTCTCCCAATGATATATATGATGATATTTATGAGATAATATATAGCACATTTATTTTAAGTTCTTAAAAATTGCATAAAAAATGGTATCAAGATCTAAAAATCATAAAAGGAGAAAAATACTTGCTTAGTAATAAAAGCAACAAACAGAGTAAATCCTTAGCTTTTTACTGTATTTTCTCCTTAGAAAACTACTCTTGCATCTAAAATGGGCTGTTTTGGTACACTACAGTTTACGAAGTTCCCAGGGAATACCCCACGAGATACATAAAGGAAATAACAAAACTAGAATAATTTATCATGTCTTAAGCACAAATGATATCCATGTACTAATAAAATGATGAATTACCTGGCTGGCATAGCTCAGTGGATTGAGCGCGGGCTGGGAACCAAAGTGTCCCAGGTTCAATTCCCAGCCAGGGTACATTCCTGGGTTGCAGGCCATAACCCCCAGCAACCGAACACTGATGTTTCTCTCTCTCTCTGTCTATCTCCCTCCCTTCCCTCTCTAAAAATAAATAAATAAAATAAAAAAAGATTAAAAAAAAAAAGATGAATTAAAAGGTAAAAAAATACATGGGGTATTATAAGCTTATATATTAATGAGTTTCTGTAACCAAAGGCAAGAATAGTCTGAGTTCAAAAATTTAGAACTCCAAAAAATAAAAAAATTAATCCACAAAGACTTTAAAACTATAAAATCTAAATGTGTATCTATATATAAACACTTAGTATTACCATAGTATATTTATATGGTAATTTATTTCTATACAATAGGAAAAGTAGAAAAAAGTGAAAATTCTCACAAGAAATTATGTTTCCTAAGATATTATGGAAAAGCTGTTAAGCTGAAGAGGCATTCACTGTTTTTACCTGTTATTTCCCTTTTATATATAACCTTCCTGAATTTAATCGTCCCACCTACTTCTTTACCCAAATTTTTCCATCTTTACATATCTCTTTTATTCCTGTCTCAAGCAAGTAAGATATTCTGCCTGCTTTCCAAAACTAATTCCCTCCTACCATTCTGAAAACATTTGTTTAATAGTTCTTTCCTCTTTTTCTACCATCAAACTTCTTATAAACAACAGTCTATGTCCAGTGCCTTCTCTTTTTTACCTTACCATTCTCATTCCTTAAACTGTGGGTCTGCTTCCAGTCTATTCAAATTTTCTTTCCCAGAATCTTCAAATTATCAATGATATTCTCTTTGATCTTTCCAAGGTTGGACAGAATTATCCAACTCATCCTTGATTATTTTTGACTTCCTTAATTACTACCTTAATTTTTTATCTGTCTTTCATCCTGAATTCTAGAGCCATATTACTCTTTAAGTTTTATATACTGTTTTAATCATACTCATTCCTTGATTCAACTGCTTTCAAAGGTCTCAATGCCTACCAAATAAATAATATAACCTCTCCAGTCTGGAAGACAATGCCCTCAAGAAACTCATGCTCTGGTCAATCTTCACTACTTGCAATTTCTTATAAGATATAACTTAGTTTTTACCTTATCTTTCTACTACTGAAAAGGCCTTTCCTCTCTTAAAATACACTTGCCCTGCCCAATACTTATTACTGAACTTTCTCACTCATCCTATACAAAGTCTTGTCAGTAACTTCACTTTGTTTTCTTTTATCTCCCTAGTTGGGACTGAAATCACTTCACTCTTAAGTTACTCTATATTCCACATACATGAATATATGTCATATAGTTATATAAAGTTATTTTTTTCACTCACAGGATACCTATGTATCATATGTCCTTCAGGACACTGTACAGTATGAGTGAAACAAATAACTTTCATATAAATCCAGAGTGAATTGATATTCCCTGCCCCAATCAATGTGTCCCTCATGGCATCCAGAACATTGCTACTGATGAACATTTAGTGAATCTACAAATGAAAAGATTTCTCTTACCAACAGACTACCTGAGGTTTACAGGTTTTTCCCTTATGTCCTTTTCAAAGTTTTCCACCATATGAATACCATTTAATCCCAAGCCTGGAAACAAAAATTCTCTCAAGTTGATAGCAATTCTAAAAAGGGGAACTTTAATGTTAATAATAAACTATCACTTCAAAAAATTTATAGGTATTCAGTGAAGACCAAATTAATATCATCATAAAAGCAAAAATAAAAATCTCTCAACACTATTGATTACATAGATTTATAAAGTCATAAAGCCCGGACTGGGTGGCTCGGTTGCTCGGAGCATCTTCTTGTACACCAAAAGGTTGTGGGTTCGATTCCCGGTCAGGGCACATATATAGGTTGTTACTTATTAAAATCTGTGGGCCAGACACTGTAGTTGGCACTTCCCCCATACTTTATCTCATTTAATCTTGACAACCTGTAAGGCAGTAATTGCATTATTATTTACTTCCACTTTACAGTAAATGTATTTCCCACTGTCATCCCAGAGATCACCAATTAATTTCCAAGTGTACTTCATTTTCTTTTCCTCATCATCAGTAGGTTTCAGTTTAACTCAGTTCAAAATATCTCCTAAATTTTTCATCTGCTTTAAAGTCAAGGTTACTATTACATGTTACCAAAAAAGGTCAAATTTTAAAGCTATTTTAAATCTGTTTGCATATGTAACCTCTAGATTCACCTATTTCACAGTAATGGTATGTTAGGAATCTAACATTTAACCAACCGACAGGAATTTACATCACTATACATTTATATGGATAAGAAAATGACTATCTGACTGAACCAGTAAAAAATAACTGTATGACTAAACCACTAGGGTAAACATTTCAAGCATTAATCACTAGCCACTGTTACAGCATTGGTGTAGTTAGATTTGATTCCTGCCTCAAAGGCTTACAATCTAACTAGAAAACACAGATAAAACGTACAAGCAAAAGAAATAGAACAAAAGGACCATAAGCATTAACTAAGTAGCCATCAACTTAACCTCTGACATGTTTCATCGATGTTGACATAATTTTACAGAAAATAAAGTTCTGATGAGTAGAAAACAGCTTAAATAAAGTAGCACCAAAGAACATCTGGAAACATGACAAAGAATGAAATGAAAATATAGAATCCAATACTCCGTTTATCCAAAATAACATAAATTAACCAGTTATTTTGCTGTACATGTAGTGCTATGGTCTTTTCTCCTTTATGTAAATATAAAGGCTTATGAACCCATAATTTCAATATGAAATTAATCAAAGTCAAAATGTTTTGCTCTGTAAATTGTCAACTTGATAGGCAACCAATGAATTTGTTAGCTGCCTAGCAACCAAATGCCACTGATTCTTCTTCTTACCTTGCTGAGTGAATTTAAGACTGTCCTTACCTCTATTCTACCACAAATTCTCTCTGAAATAGTTCAAATTTATTGATAACATTTCTATTATTAATCATCCACCTCCAGGTATAAACAGCAACTAAAAACAATTATAACAATAAAGTAAAAAGAAACAAAGAAAATATTCTTAAGCATGTAAGAAACATATAGTAAAACAGTACACATTCTAATTTAGCTCAGAGTATAATGTCCCCTCCAAATCCCAGGCTATAATAACCATCAAATATTTATAAGATCACTCCCTTCACCACCCCTATCAACCTACAAAATAGCTTTAGTCTTTTATTTTAGATATTCTAAATATGAATGAAGACTAGTAATATAAACTCAAAATTAGATAACCCATTTTTAAATAATTTAAAAAACCTAACAGTTCAGTGGTGCTTAACCCTTTACTACTGTTTAATAACTCACTAAATAAATATACTAAAGACATGTTACTCTACAGATTCAAACTCCCCCACTATACTTAATTTTCATATTCTAACCATTGTTTATTCTCAGAAAATTCGGCACCAAATAACATTTATTTTAATAACTAAGCCAGTAAGTATACTGAACAATACAGTACAACTAAAATCACTGAATATAAACTTACTTTTCAGCAAAATCTTTACTTCTCCATTTTCTTTTTTGATCTCATTCATCGCTTTATGCTTCTTTTTTTCTCTCTCTTTTTCTTTATCTCTCTCTTTAATTTTGTCTTTGATTTTATCTAAAAGACAAAAAAGGAAATATTTTAAACTATTTTACAATTTTATTTTTTTCCAATGAATTATAGTATAATTTCTAAACCTTCCTTCATATATTGAATATGGAATACATAATACATATGTCATAAATGACCAAAATGAATCATTATACATTTCATTCTGTGGAATGTACATTCATACTTAAGGAATTACTTGTCACTTATTTCATGTCAACCATGTTAGACTAACTTCAAATCACTTAAAATAATGGTTAACTTGAATTGACACAGTAAATTACAGTGGGAAAAGTACTAGCTTTGATTTGGGCATATTTAAACTGGTAACGTAACAGGGGAAAAATTACTCAGTCTCAGTTTCCTCATCTGTAAAATGGTAACTGATACCTTTCTCATAGGTTACCATGAAGACTAAATGGAGATAGCTATAAAATGACTTCCCAGAGCCTATTACACACTGCCAGATGTTAGTTCCATTAACCTTGCACCTTTTAAATAAAAAGAGTATCATTACTCTGGCTATTTGGTGATATTATATTAAAATAAAGGGTATAAAAACTTAAGGAATTATTGTCTACCATCTAAAAATCAAACTTTTGAGTTTATAAAATTAATTGATGTCCTACTAATTCTTGTTTGTTCAAGTGCTTATGTACCCAGCAAAAATCAAGAGGTAGAAGAGAATTTTAAAATAGTGATATAGTTCTTGCCCCCAAAAAGGACACTACTGATTATTAAGCCATGATAGAAGCATACAGAAAACATAAAATATCCTTCAATGTAATAGAAATTATATAGTTCTATAAATATTACATAATTTCTTAAACTCTTCCTTACTTTCCTTTCTATCCTCATTCATGCCCTGATTACCTATGTAGATTACTGTTTAGACGGCACTATCCAATAGAAGTATAATGTTCACCACATATGTAAATTTAAAAATATACTAAAAGAAATGGTGAAATTAATTTTAATAATATATTTAACCAATATATCTGAAACATTTCAAAATGAAACCAATACTAAAAAAATGTTGTAATATTATATATTCTTTTCTCATAATAAGATTTCAAAATGCACTGCATACACCACAACTCAGTTAAAAGTATCAACAGTGACTACTTTTGGCCAAGGTGGAGGCGTATGTAGGTAGACACGCTGTGACTCCTCACACAACCAAAATAAGGACAACAATACAGAAACAAAATAACAACCAGTACGGACAGAAAACTGAACTGTATGGAAGGCGGACAACCAAAGAGTTAAAATAAACACATTCATCCAGACCGGTAGGAAGGGTGAAGTAGGAAGGGTGGAGTCAGGCGGCCGGGCAGAGAAGGGTCACAGCACAAACAGCGGTGGCACTGGGCATGCAAGGCATCCCAGGCACAGAAGACCACTGCAGGTGGACCCTGGGCATGTAGGCAGCAGCTGGCAGACCCTAGGCACAGGGTGGCAATGGGCAGACCCAGTGACGTGGTGGCTGTGAAGCGAGGCACTGAACGCAAGGCAGCTGGCTGACCAGGTGGTCCCACGTTCATGCGCAGATAAACCAGGTGAAACTGGGGAGTGAGACAGACTGCACAACCCAGTGTGAGTGAGACAGACTGCACAACCCAGGGTCCCAGAGCCAGGAAAGAGAGCCTCAAAACACCAATTGAAAATACCTGTGGGAGTTGAGGTGCAGGGAGAGACTCCAAGCCTCACAGGAGAGTTCCTTGGAAAGACCCACAGGGTCCTAGAACATGCACAAGCCCACACCCACAGGGGAATTAATACCAGAACGGCCCAGTTTGCTTGGTGGAAGTGGCGGAAGGGACTGAAATCTGACAGAGAGGAGAGCAAGCAACACTGTTCCCTCTCAGACCCTACCCCCACATACAGCATCACAACCAAGCAACTGGGTTGCCCTGCCCTGGTGAATACCTAAGGCTCCGCCCCTCACTACATAACAGGCCCAACAAGACAAAAAGGCCCAAATGAAAGAACAGATCAAAGCTCCAAAGCAAATACAACTAAGCGATCAAGAGATAGCCAACCTATCAGATGCACAGTTCAACGTACTGGTGATCAGGATGCTCAAAGAACTGGTTGAATTTAGTCGTAAATTAGATGAAAAAATGAAAGCTACGCTAAGTGAAATGAAGGAAAATGTACAGGGAACCAATAGTGATGGGAAGGAAACTGGGACTCAAATCAATGGAGTGGACCAGAAGGAAGAAGGAAACAACCAAACAGAAAAGAATAAAGACACAAGAATTCAAAAAAAATGAGGAGAGGCCTAGGAACCTCCAGGACATCTTTAAATGTTCGAACATCCGAATTATAGGGGTGCCAGAAGGGGAAGAGGAAGAACAACAAGTGGAAAACTCATTTGAACAAATAATAAAGGAGAACTTCCCCATCTGGCAAAGGAAACAGACTTCCAGGAAGCCCAGGAAGCTCATAGAGTCCCAAAGAAGTTGGACCCAAGGAAGAACACACCAAAGCACATCATAATTACATTAGCCAAGATAAAAGATAAAGAGAGAATCCTAGAAGCAGCAAAGGATAAGGAGACAGTTACCTACAGAGGAGTTTCCATCAGACTGTCAGCTGATTTCTCAAAAGAGACCTCGCGGGCAAGAAGAAGCTGGAAAGAAGTGTTCCAATTCATGAAAGGCAAGGACTTACATCCAAGATTGCTCTATCCAGCAAAGCTTTCATTTAGAATGGAAGGGCAGATAAAGCGCTTCTCAGATAAGGTCAAGTTAAAGGAGTTCATCATCACCAGGCCCTTATTTTATGAAATGTTAAAGGGACTTATCTAAGAAAATGAAGATAAAAAACATGTATAGTAAAACAACAGCAAACTCACAATCATTAACAACCACACCTAAAACAAAAACAAAAACAAACTAAGCAAACAACTAGAACAGGAACAGAACCACAGAAATGGAGATCACATGGAGGGTTAGCAACAGGGGAGTGGGAGGAGGAGAGAGGGGTAAAAGGTACAGAGAATAAGTAGCACAGATAGTAGGTAGAAAATAGACAGGGGGAGGGCAAGAACAGTATAGGAAATATAGAAGCTAAAGAACTTATGACACGTGGACATGAACCAAAGGCAGAGAAGAGGGTGGGTAGGAGAGGGTGTACAGGGTGGAGGGGAATGAAGGGAGGGAAATGGAACAACTGTAATAGCATAATCAATAAAATATATTTAAGAAGTATCAATAGCTGCATATTAAGTGTGCAATAGCCACATGATGCTAGTGGCTACCATAATCAATAACTCAGGTCTATACTACATAGAGACAGTTCTCAAAAAAAAAAATTAAATCCCTGTCATGTAATAAGCATCTTAAAAGTTATACTCATTACTGATAAAAATATACCGATTCAAATAAGATATTTTCACCCATCAAACTGACAGTGTGCTTTTTTTAAAAGTGATAATACTGAAAGCAGATGAGAAGACAAGGGATTCACCGACTTTATGATGCATCACTGAGTATAAGGAAAGGATTAGGGTACAGAGGTAAGCAAAATATATAAGGTCCTCATTTTTTATATATAACATAAATTACAGACTAAATTAAGCTGTTCTCGCATTTTTTATTACTTGGCTACTCTTACTTTTTGATATTTAAAGTCCTGTTATAGGGTGTCATCCACCCTTAAAATGTTACTCCAAATACTTCAGGCTTAGACACATACATGTTACGGTTTTCTAAATAATCACACACTCTTTAAAACAAACTATTTACATAACATTTAAAATAAAAACTGACTGAAGGGGTGGGAGTGGAGGTGGAAGAGAGTATGGAGGGATAAATGGTAGTAGAAAAAATACATAGATACATACATGGAATAATAATACAAATAAAATAAAAACCAAAGCAGTCATCTGAAATATCTCTGCAATTCATTTCCCAGTTATCTCTATTAATCTTATTATTCTAAAGTGTTATTTCAGTACTATTCATCTTTTAATATATATACAGGAAAAAGAATGTAAGTTCAATTTTCACAAAAATGAACAGCACCTCAAACCTCTTATCCTCCCTTCTAGTATTTTTGTAGCACCCCGAAGGTTAACCTTGATCCTGACTTCTAACCACATAGATTAAAACTACACAATTTTTCTGGCATACATAAAGAATATGATATACTATAAATCTACTATAATTGCAAAATACTTTGCAGAATAAAATTATATTACATTCTCAGGAAATAAACTATAATATGGTAAAACTGAAAGTTTTTATACACCGTATTTATAAATATACTTGTAGACTTTATTTTTTAGAGCAATTTTAGGTTCATAGAAAAACTGAACAAAAAGTACAGTTTTTCCCAGATGTACCTCCTGCCATTACACATACCATTTTTTAAATATTTATAATATATACTTTTAGAAAACACAGTGAATGATAACAATTCAAATTATTAAAAGCCATTATTTTTTAAGTGACAAAAGTTTTTAAGATGCTATAATAGGAACATGTTAGTTTCACAACACAGAAAAAAGGGTCTTAGAATATTCCTTCCAGTTCAAGTACAGTTGAATGGCTCAATTAAAGGTAAGTTGAAGGTCTGAGGTCATTATATCAAAGACATCTATAGAGGCGAGGCTCCTGTCAGGATGGTGGTATAGGTAAATGCAGTACTTGAAACCTCTCACAACCACATCAAAATTATAGTTAAATTACAGAACAACCATCATTCAGAAGACTGAAATCTAGCTGAAGAGAAGTCCTATGACTAAAGATACAAAGAAGCTATATGGAGACTGGCAGGAGGGGTGGAGAAGTAGAATAGGCTGGCCCCACACCCATACATGGCAGTTAAAAATAGGAAGGAACATCTCCGGGGAGGTGTTCCCCCTAGAGGACCCCCCAGAGGAGCAAGGGGTTCTGACCCAACATCAGAACCCTCGGCCCAGGGTCCTAGTTCCAGGAAGAGAAGTCCCCATAACTTCTGGCTGTAAAAACCAGAGGGGATTGTGGTTGAGTGAAACAGAG